AAGACCTGCTTTAAATTTCATGTGAAACCAGAAAAAAAGTCCATATTGCCAAGACAATCCTAAGCAAAAAGAACAAAGCTGGAGTCATCACCCTGCCTGGCTTCAAACTATACTACAAGGCTGCAGTAACCAAAACAGCATGGTACTGGTACCAAAATAGAGATATAGACCAATGGAACATAGCAGAGACCCCAGAAATAACACCGCACATCTACAACCATCTAATCTTTTACAAACCTGACAAAAACAAGCAATGGGGAAAGGATTCCCTATTTAATAAATGATGTTGGGAAAACAGGCTAGCCATATGCAGAAAACTGAAACTGGACCTCTTCCTTATACCTTATACAAAAATTAACTCAAGGTGGATTAAAGACTTAAATGTAAGACCTAAAACCATAAAAACCCTAGAAGAAAATCTAGGCAATACCATTCAGGACATAGGCATGGGCAAAGGCTTCATGACTAAAACACCAAAAGCAATGGCAACAAAAGCCAGAATTGACAAATGGGATCTAATTAAACTAAAGAACTTATGCACAGCAAAAGAAACTATCATCAGAGTGAACAGGCAATCTACAGAATGGGAGAAAATTTTTGCCATCTATCCTTCCAACAAAAGGCTAATACCCAGAATTTGCAAGGAACTTAAATTCACACACACACAAAACAAACAATTTCATCAAAAAGTGGGCAAAGTATATGACCAGACACTTCTCAAAAGAAGACATTTATGTGGCCAAAAAAACATATGAAAAAAAGCTCATCATCACTGGTCATTAGAGAAATGCAAATCAAAATGGCAATGAGATACCATCTCACACCAGTTACAATGGCGATTATTAAAAAGTCAGGAAACAACAGATGCTGGAGAGAATGTGGAGAAATAGGAATGCTTTTACACTGTTGGTGGGCGTATAAATTAGTTCAACCGTTGTGGAAGACAGTGTGGCGATTCCTCAAGGATCTAGAACCAGAAATCCCATTTGACCTAGCAATCCCATTACTGGGTATATACCCAAAGAATTATAAATCATTCTACTATAAAGACACATACACACATGTTTATTGCAGCACTATTCATAATAGAAAAGACTTGGAACCAACCCAAATGCCCACCAACGATAGTCTGGATAAAGAAAATGTGGCACATAAACACCATGGAATACTATACAGCCATAAAAAAGGATGTGTTTGTGTCCTTTGCAGAGACATGGATAAAGCTGGAAACCATCATTTTCAGCAAACTAATCCAGGAACAAAAAACCAAACACTGCATGTACTCACTCATAAGTGGGAGTTGAACAATGAGAACACATGGACACAGTGAGGGGAACATCACACACCAGGGCCTGTTGGGAGGTGGGGGGAAAGGGGAGGGAGAGCATTAGGAGAAATACCTAGTGTAGATGACAGGTTGATGGGTACAGAAAACCACCATGGCACGTGTATACCTGTGTAACAAACCTGCACATTCTGCACATGTACCCCAGAACTTAAAGTGTAATAAATAAATAATGAAAAGAATTTTAAAAACAAATGTTGATATATATGTAGAGTACCTCTGGATGGACAGGTGGTAACAGTCCCCTGGGAAAGAGAACTGGAGAACAGGGTGGGAGCGAAAGAATTTCGTTCTTTCTTTTGTCCCCATGTGTAGGAATTACTTTTCAAGAAAAGAGAAAAAAAAATGTGTTTTTGTTTCAGTTTATGCTAGAATTTAACTTTTGGTTCTGAAAAGTCCAGCTACTTACAGTTAAATCATTTAGCAAATAATACATGCCTAGAACCTACTGAATTGAGCTGAGGTTTAAGATTAAATTGTTGGCCGGGCGCGGTGGCTCAAGCCTGTAATCCCAGCACTTTGGGAGGCCGAGACGGGCGGATCACGAGGTCAGGAGATCGAGACCATCCTGGCTAACATGGTGAAACCCCGTCTCTACTAAAAAATACAAAAAACTAGCCGGGCGACGTGGCGGGCGCCTGTAGTCCCAGCTACTCGGGAGGCTGAGGCAGGAGAATGGCGTAAACCCGGGAGGCGGAGCTTGCAGTGAGCTGAGATCCGGCCACTGCACTCCAGCCTGGGCGACAGAGCGAGACTCCGTCTCAAAAAAAAAAAAAAAAAAAAAAAAAGATTAAATTGTTGTATGTATACCTTGTTGGATACTGAAGATTAAAGTTGTCAATGAAATTATAATAATCACTATTTCTAAAACTGTTATACTCTGTATATATACAGTTATTCTTACAGTCTTTTCATATACAGATGATCCTTGACTTACGATGGGGTTACATCCTGATAAACCCATGTTAGTTGAAAATATTGTAAATCAAAAATAATATACCTAACCTGCTGAATATCATAGTTTAGCCTAGCCTACCTTAAACGTGCTCAGAACACTTACATTAGCCTACAGTTGGGCAGAGTCAACTGGAAACACAGAGCATCAATCAAAACTGGAAAACTAGAGCATCAGTCCCCATTCTTTTTGGCACTAGGGACCAGTTTCGTGGAAGACACTTTTTCCATGGACTGGGGAGGGAAAAGGGTGGGGGATGGTTTTGTGATGAAACTGCAGCACCTCAGATCATCAGGCATTAGATTCTCATAAAGAGCGGCCAACCTAGATCCCTTGCATGTGCAGTTCACAATAGGGTTCGCAGTTCTATAAGAGTCTCTTGCTGCTGCTGATCTGACAAGGTAGAGCTCAGGCGGTAATGCTTGCTCATGCCTGCTGCTAACCTTCTGTGCAGTCTGGTTCCTAACAGGCCATGGGCCAGTACCGGTCCAAGACCCGGGGTTTGGGGACCCCGGCTCTAGAGTATCAGTTATTTACTTGCATGATCATGTGACTGACTGGGAGCTGTGGCTGGCTGCTGTTGCAGAGGGTTGTGAGAGAGTATCTTGTTACACATTGCGAGCCTGGGAAAAGATCAAAATCCAGAATTCGAAGTGTGGTTTTTATTGAATGCGTGTCACTTTCACACCATTGTAAAGTCGAAAAACTGTATCTCAAACCATCCTAAATTGGGGACCATCTGTATGTGGCTTAAAATGTTTCTTAGCTGTCTGTAAGTTCCCTTGCAGATGCAGCAGTCTTTTAAGCACAGCATATGGTTTTTGCAATTATAAAAATAACATATGCTCCTTATAATACATTTTTAAAATATAGCAAAAGTTAAAGAAGATTAACCAAGTATCCCATATTTTGGTGCATAGCTGAACTTTCTGTAAATATATAACTTTATAAATATAGTTTGTTTAAATTGAATCATACCATGCATACTATTTTATGCCCTGATTTTTTTTCCATTGGTAATATATCTTCTCATGTCAGTATATAGTTAACTATGTGATTTAAAATAGTTGCATCATATTTCATTGAATAAACATGCCATAATTTATTAAATCAAAAATATTGGTGGACATTTAGGTTATTTGCAGCATTTTGCTGTTGTAAAGAACACTCCAGGCCAGGTGTGGTGGCTCATGCCCGTAATCTCAACACCTTGGGAGGCCGAAGCAGGTGGATCACTTAAGGCCAGGCGTTCGAAACTAGCCTGGCCAGTGTGGTGAAACCCTGTCTCTACTAAAAATACAAAAATTAGCTGGGTGTGGTGACATGTGCCTGTAGCCCCAGCTACTCAGAAGGCTGAGGCACAAGAATTGCCTAAACCTGGGAGGCGGAGTTTGCAGTGAGCCCAGATTGCGCCAGTGCACTCCAGCCTGGCCAAAAGAGTGAGACTCTGTCTCAAAACAAAAACAAAAAAACAAAACAAAGCAAAAAACCACTTCTGTGAATGCATTTCAGAGTATTTTTAAAAATAATTTCTAAAAGTGGTTTTACTGAATCAAAAGCCTTTCTTTTTTTTTTTTTTTTTTTGAAGACTTTTGATACTTATTACTAAATTTGTGTCCCCCAGGGTCTTTTAAAATATTACCTGAATTTTTCTTTTGAAAATGGTTACAAAAGTGACTCATACTTAAAAATTAAAGTGTCTGTGTGACTAACAAGCATATAAAAAATGCCTAATCATTAGAGAAATGAAAATCAAAACCACAATGAGATACCATCTCGTGTCAGTCAGAATGGCTGTTATTAAAACGTCAAAAAATAGCAGATATTGGCAAGGTTTCAGAGAAATAGGACACTTAAACACTGCTGGTCGGAATGTAAGTTCAGCCATTATGGAAAGCAGTGTGGCGATTTCTCAAAGAACTTAAAACAGAAATACCATTCAACCCAACAATCCCATTATTGGATATATGCCCAAAGGAATATAAATCGTTCTACCATAAAGACACATGCACGTATATATTCATCGCAGCACTATACGCAATAGCAAAGTCGTAGAGTCAACCTCAGTGCCCATCCGTGGTAGACTGGATAAAGAAAATGTGGTACGCATTACACCATGGAATACTATGTAGCCATAAAAAGGAATGAGATAATGTCCTTTGTAGCAACATGATTGGAACTGGAGGCCATAATCCTAAGGGAACTAACATAGGAATAGAAAACCAAATGTTCTCACTTCTAAGTGGGAGCTAAGCATTGATTACGCATGGACACAAAGAAGGGAACAACAGACACTGGGGCTTACTTGGCGGTGGAGGGTAGGAGAGAGAGGATCGAAAAAGTATCTGTCAGGTACTATGCTTTTTACCTTGGTGATGAAACAACCCGTACACCAAATCTCTGTGACACACAATTTACCTATATAGCAAACCTGCACATGTATCCCAAACCTAAAATAAAACTTAAAAAAATTCAAGTGTCTAGTACATAACTCCCAGTAAATTTATTTTAAATCAAAGAGCTGATTTTGATTTTGTGTTAATTGTATCTAGAATTTGCATGGTTGTTAAGATGGATCGGAATCTGTTTGCTATGAAGTACGGTCAAAGGGAAATACTTATTTTTTCCCTTTCTTTTCTTTGACAAAGGAAAAACTGTCACCCATAAAAGTCTTTTTTTTTTTTTTTTAATAACATATAGGTCAAAGAATTAGAAGAGCAACTAGAAAATGAAACACTCCACAAAGAAATACACAACCTTAAACAGCAACTGGAGCTTCTAGAAGAAGATAAAAAGGAATTGGAATTGAAATATCAGAATTCTGAAGAGAAAGCCAGAAATTTAAAGCACTCTGGTAAAAGCATTGAGTAGGCTACTATGTCTTACTATTAATCTTTGAATTACTCATGCCTAGTACAAAACCTGGCATGTAGTCTAGAACATTTACTGAATGCTGTGGAAAAATACCAAGACTTGTTTTTAAGTTCCTTCATTTCTAACCATTGCAGTTCAGTAGAATAGCTGCTGTATTAAATAATTCACAAATATTTAGACTTCTTTTTTGGACTTAGAGCCCTTATAAACATCATATACAGAATTAAGACACAGAGATACCATTAGCATAGGAGGACCAAACTTTTCAGCATTTTTCAGAGCTTCAGAGGTGAATATTCATTATGTACTTTATGTTGTTCACTTAGAGTTGCATTTTTAGAAATAATTAAACTTTTTAAACATACTATCTTCATCTTTGGTGTTCATACCACCTTCGTCTTTGGTGTCTAATTATACACATGAAATAATACTTTCTATATCGTACCTAACAATGAACTGGGCAACAATATATCTATTAAATGGAAAACCTTTTAAAACACCAGGGGATACTTAAATCAAAAGATTTATTCATTCAGTTCTAGAAGGCTTAACGGGAATGTGCGAGTTAGATTATTATACAGGCATATGTGTAAGTCTCTGTTGGAAGGTCGGTAATTTAAGAAGGCAGGTACATTCCCTTTATAATAGCTTCAATATTCACTTCAGATATTTTTTGGTTAATTTTATACTAGAATTTTGAAACCTATGCAGAAGAACCACGTAGGCCTTTTTTCCTTCTAAAAGCATTCAGTGCTTTCTAATCCACAATAAAAATTGATTATAATTTATTTTTTAATTGATCCAAAATTAAGAAATATTCCATTCTTTTTAGTGAATATCAGAGTAGCCTGTAGCCAAAGCCACTTTTATTATGAATGGAGGAGGCAGACACTGGAAACACATGAGGTTCAATTCTGAATGCCTTTTATTAATACTTAGCATCTGCTGTGTGTGTACCCAGCCCTATCCTAGGATACACTACTTGGGAGGCTGAGACAGGAGAATGGCGTGAACCTGGGAGGTGGAGCTTGCAGTGAGCCGAGATCACGCCACTGCACTCCCAGCCTGGGCAACACAGCAAGACTCCATCTCAAAAAAAAAAAAAAAAGAGACAGAAGGAAAAGGAACCATGCTTTTTGTCTTCAGAGAACTCAGATTCCTCTTGGAGGGATAGGTGCATACACATGAAATGACCAGTGGATTCTCAGTTTTGGAGAGCATAGCCCACACTGCCTATTTAAGTGTTGAGGGTAAATACAAATGGACAGATCCTTGGGGGTACACTTAGTTGGGGAAAGTGGAATGGCTGTGGACGGGGAGAGCTACCTCTGAATGCCAAAAGTATGCAGCACCTTTTACCCATTATCTCATAGGTGTTAGCATCTGTGCTATAAACAAGTTCAGTTCCTTGAAGTCAGGTGTTATGTCTCCTGTAGCACCATTCATAGGCACTTTGACATCATTGGTGCTTCCTAAGTAAAATGCCTGCTTCATGAAAGACTTGAAGGAATATGGTGCATTTCCAGAAATATCTTCAAAAGAGCAAAAAGTTTCTGAGTTACAGATTTAGGAAGCTGAATCTGGTTAAAATCAAAGACTCTAGTATTTGCAGTTTTTGAAGGAAATTAAGCAGGGGAGAGAAGTATGCAGTTATTAAAATTCATTACTAAATGTCATCTTTAAAATTAATTCTTGGTCTGTACACTTTTAAAGTCAAGTATTAACAATTTCTTAGTGTTTGAGTAATATACTTCGTTGTTAACAAATATTTCTTCAGCCTACTCACTTCTTCCTACCCTTCAGCCATTGTTTTGATTGTTTTTTCTTTTCTAAAGTTGTATATACAGCAAAAAGATAACATTTAATATTGATAGATGGGAGTCCTCTCTTGCATTAGCAATAGACTAGATAGTGAAAAGTTTAAAAAGGTCTGCAATTTTATATTGAAATTTTTTATTTTGCTTTAATAAAAAGAACTTACTGAGAAAGGTTATGTTCTTTCTTTCACATGTATAAACAATGTTTAGTTGCTTGTTTCAGCTCTCTTCTGAATGCTTGCTCTCTGTGCAGTTGATGAACTCCAGAAACGAGTGAACCAGTCTGAGAATTCAGTACCTCCACCACCTCCTCCTCCACCACCACTTCCCCCTCCACCTCCCAATCCTATCCGGTAAGCATATCCAGGAAGACTGCTCTGCATCAAATGTTCTTCCCCATCAGATTGTGCCATGAGAGGAGCCATATTAAAAGCATGAAAGATACTAGCTGATGCTTTTCTTGGAAATTTTTCTAAAGGCCAGTGATATGGTTTGGTTGTGTCTCCACCCAAATCTCCTCTTGAATCGTAGCTCCCACAATTCCCACGTGTCATGGGAGGTAATTGCATCATGAGGGTGCGTCTTTCCCATGCTGTTCTCATGATAGTGAATCTCATGAGATCTCATGGTTTTATAAAGAGGAATTCCCCTGCACAAGTTCTCTCTTCCCTGCTGCCATGTAAGATGTGACTTGCTTCTCCTTGCCTTCCACCATGATTGTGAGGCCTTCCCAGCCATGTGGAACTGTGAGTCAATTAAACCTTTTTCCTTTATAATTACCCAGTCTCAGGTGTATCTTTATTAGCAGCATGAGAATGGCCTAATAAGCCAATATATTATTCCCTTCTTGTAATATATAAATTTCATTCAATAACATTAAGATTTCCTTTAATGGTAAGAACAAGGAATTTTGAGCTTCTCCAGAATGTGTTTACTTTCCTCTTGCTAATTCGAATTTGAAAAGCTCTGGTTTGTTCAATTATTTTAAAAATAAAAATACTAAATGAAAATGTAAACATACTAATTGTTATGAACTAGTAATTAAACTAGATGTATTAATTACTTTTATCTCTCTCCTCATATTTATACCTTTAGTAAGGCTAAGAGAGGAGCCTTCCATAAGAAAGATAAATTATGTTTAAATTCTTGTGACAGGAAGTCACATATGCAGACAGGAATTCGTATTTTCTGAAGCCTAAAGTGACATGATGGCATTATGTATGTCACTTGAGCACAATACACACTAGGAGATTTAGAGTCAAATTTTGCCTTCTTTATGGTTCCACATGCCACCATCCAGAATTACATAAGACAACTTCCTTGCCAAGGTGACAACATATGTGCTCATGTCATGATGTTAGTTGCTTTTGTATAATTTATTCTTTAATAAATGGCATTTAAAAACCTTTGCTAGTTTTTTTTTTTTTTTTTTTTTTTTTTTTTTTTACCTTTCATTAACTCATGTGATTTGTTTAATCCTTTCACACAGAGAGGCCATTTATTCATACTTTGCACCTTTGCTGATCCATCTGAATAGAATGTGTAGCATGTTCCTCCCACACGACTATGAAAGTGGGACTTTGCCTTTTAAAAAGAGTCTCATTAGTTTTCCTTACTGAGTAGGATATGACATAATCTACTTTAAGCCATTGAAGTAGTTAAGGCAAAATAATTTTTACACGTGATGGAGCCAAGAGTCAATTGAAAGAATTTCAGGTATTTTAAAATCTTTCTCTCCCGGGTAGCTAAATCTGTAGGAGATATTCTGGATTTGACATTTAAAATTGGAAATTCATCACTTTGATCTTTCTCAAAGGTCTGGGATTTTGAGCTGATAAGAAAGGTCACTTCTGTCCATGAAGAGTGAGAACGATTAAAAAGTAATTACCGTCTTGCTGGTGGCCTTTAATTTTTATTCTCAGAAGTGTTGAGAGCCCCCTAGAATTAGAAGTATAACCTAAGTCGAATTTTTTTTCCCAAAGAGCACTTTACAGTTACGCTGAGCAATGAATGTTCAGGACTATTTGTGTCTCAAGTGTGAACTCTTTTATAAGGCTCTTTAAAGAAAATTTGATTGAATGATATGATTTTTATTTTAAGATGAATTTAAATAGTATAGGACATAATTTTTGAAAGAAAAGAGGTTTTTTTTTTGTGAGGAGTGCTTTCTTGCCAAAGAGGTATATTTGCATATGTATTGAGTTTGAGTGGATTTTGTATTCACAAATCAAAGTTTTCTAACTTTGTTCCTGACCCATTTGTTTTATCCTGATGTAAATCATGGTTAGAAATGAAAGCGGGAAGAAAAAAAAAAAAGACCGGGGCCTGTGGCTTTTTTAAGTGGCCTTACTGCTTTTCCCTTCTCTTCCCACTCATTTGACTCCAAGAATAGGTAGAAGAAAGAGGAAGAAGGCAAATCTTGGTCACTTTGTCCCAGTGGCAGTGAAAGTAGGACAGGTTTTATGCAGATATAGTTCATGGGGAGAGGGTTGAGGCTATTGTGTTTTTTTTTTAAGAGAAACAGAACATGTATATCTGTAGATACAGATATAGGCAGATATAAATACAGATTTATTATAAGAAATTGGCTCATGTGATTATGGAGGCTGTCAAGCCCTGAGATCTGTAGGGTGAGTTGGCGAGCTGGACAGCCAAAAGAATCAGTGGTGTGGTTCCAGGCTGAGTCTAGGGGCCTGAAAACTGGGAGAACCTATGGTGTAGTTTTATTCCAAAGTTTGACAGGCTCCAGACCCAGGAAGTGGCAGTGTTACAGTTCAAGTTCGAAAGCAATAAAAAGCCAATAACCCAGTTTGAAGGCAGTCAGGCAGGAGGAAGTCCCTGTTAGTTGAGGGAGGATCAGCCTTGTTGTTCTAATTAGGCCTTCAAATGATTGGCTGAGGGCCACCTACCTCAGGGAGGACCATCTGCTTTACTCAGTCTACTGATTGAAATGTTAATGTCATCCACAACATCCTTATGGAAACACCAGAATCATGTTTAACCAAGTATCTCTGGCCCAGTCAAGTTGACACACAAAATAACTATCACAGTGGCCATGACGGACACTTGAAAAACTAACAGGTGAAGGTTGGGCGCGGTGGCTCACGCCTGTAATCCCAGCACTTTGGGAGGCCGACGCGGGCAGATCACAAGGTCAGGAGATCAAGACCATCCTGGCTAACACGGTGAAACTCCGTCTCTACTGAAAATACAAAAAATTAGCCGGGCATGGTGGCAGGCGCCTGTAGTCCCAGCTACTTGGGAGGCTGAGGCAGGAGAATGGCAGGAACCTGGGAGGCAGAGCTTGCAGTGAGCCAAGATCGCACCACTGCACTCCAGCCTGGGCGACAGAGCAAGACTCTGTCTCAAAAAAAAAAAAAAAAAAAAAAACCTAATGGGTGAAAATTCTCCACTGAAATGTTCCGTCTTGGGATGACACGTGTCTGAAATTTTATTCATTCAATTGAAATGACAGTGAAATGGGGCGGTGATGGCCAGAGGTTTGAGTATGGGTCCCAGATGTCTTGACCTAATCTCCTCTGGCCTGTGAGTCCTGCCTTCCCTGTAGTGTGAGTCCCATCTTGACTGTTGGTTTTAATATTGCAGTGATTTTCCTCTGAGCACTGTATGTCTACAGCTTACGCTTCAACTCAGAATCCTTTACGCTAACGCTTTCTGTCATCTAGGTGGTTTATGCTAATAAACAGGTATTATTCTTCACACGTGCAAATATATATATAAGTACTCTGAGCAGTAAAAATAAATTCCTGCTTCATCATCTTTATGTACAATAATGTACACTTGCAAAATTTCCTCGCAGAAGCAGAGGCAAAGTCAGTGCAGAGTGTGGTGCGAGGGTAAGGTGAGACCTCTGATTAGTGAGAACCGTCCTCACACCCAGCCCACCATGGAGTGGTAACAAGTAGATTCAGCTGACAGAATGGCAAATTGAGCAAGTAAAGTTTAGTTTATTCTTTATAACTTCCAGAATAAAATGTACTTATTTCAAAGTTCTATGTAAATTAGAATTTCTAACTTTTGTGAAAATAATTTAATTCCATTTGGCCATTGCAAGCCCAAAGAAGAGAAACTAGACAAAGTCAGAAGCTCCGTGATTGGTTGCCAAGCTAGATAGAGCAGGATGTGTTTTTTTCTTTCTACTGTGCTTTATGGGAGATTATCCACTGAGTCTGGGAATTTTAAGGAAAGGCAATTAGGAAGGGGATTAATAATATAAGCAAACGTAGAAGTGAAAAGTTAAAAAAGCTAGAAATTATAATGATTAGGAAACTGGAGGCTGGGCACAATGGCTCACCTCTGTAATCCCAGCCTTTTGGGAGGCCAAGGCAGGAAGATTGAGGCCAGGAGTTCAGGACCAGCCTGGGCAACAGGTGAGACCCCTCCAAAAAATTAAAAAACATTAACCAGGAGTGATGGTGTGCCTGTAGTCCCAGCTACTCCAAAGGCTGAGGCAGGAAGATCACTTGAGCGCAGGAGATCAGAGCTGCAATGAGTGGTGATCGTGCCCTTGCACTCCAGCGTGGGCAACAGAGTGAGACCCCGTCTCAGAAAAAAAAAAATAATAATAAAAAAAAAAAGGATAAAAAAGAAGCATTGGGTGGTGATATCTTCTGAACAAGCATTACTCTGTATATCCATTTGCCCCTTTTCCTAAGGGCAACATTATGCCTTTCTTATCCTCCAGGTATTTGTTTTCTATTGCTGGACTGTTTTGCAAATACAGTTCACCACACTGAGTTCATTTATGATGCAGCTGAAGGAATTCAAAAATTATTGATTCACTCATGTTTTGGTAAACATTTTATGGAGGAAATGATAATATATGCAGATGTGTATACAAGCCAATGGACAGTTTTAAAATAATGTTAAAGTGAACATCTGTGTAATCACCCTCCAAATCAAGAAATAGGCAATACTGGCACCCTAATTCTTTCCTTTGACCCTTTTCCAAAGATAAGCACCTTTCTCTCTAATCGCTGTCTTTTATGGTGATCATTTCCTTGCATTATTGAAGAAAAATTTTCCTGCCTAACATGTATCCCTAAACTACTGTAAATATCTGTATGGCTTGGTTTTGAACTTTATATAATTGGAATTTTCATGTATCATTGTGGTCTTGCTCTTTTTAGTCTACATTATTATTTTTATTTATTTATATGTGTATATATTTTTTTTTAGATGGAGCTTCGCTCTTGTTGCCCAGGCTGGAGTGCAGTGGTGCGATCTTGGCTCACTGCAACCTCTGCCTCCCAGGTTCAAGCGATTCTCCTGCCTCAGCTTCCCAAGTAGCTGGGATTACAGACACCCGCCACCAGACCCAGCTAATTTTTTCGTATTTTTAGTAGAGACAGGGTTTCACCATGTTGGCAAGGCTGGTCTCGAACTCCTGACCTCAGGTGATCCGCCCACCTTGGCCTCCCAAAGTACTGGGATTGCAGGTGTGAGCCACCGCTCCCAGCCTACTCTATGCTATTGTGTAAGATTCATCTGTTGTGTAGCTTAAGTCCATTCATATTCACTGATATCTAATTCACTTTATGAAAGTCTCAGAATGTACTTATCCATTGTGGTGCTGATGGACATTTGAGTTATTACCAGTTCTGTGGAATTACGGAAATTCTTCATGAGCATTCTTGTTCATGTATCCTGGTGCACAAGTGCTTGCCTTTCTGTAGGATATGTGGCAGTGGAATCACTGGCTCATAAGATACATATATTTTTTACTCTACTAGATAATTACAAAGAGTTTTCCAGAGTGGAATGTACTATTAATTTATATATCCTCTTTGGTTTGAGAACTTCTGTTACTCCACAGACCCACTAACACTTGATATTACCAGATTTATTTTGTCTGTTTGCTGAATGTATAGTGATATCCCAGTGTGGGTTTGTGTTTGCCTAACAGCTAATGAAGTCAAGCACCTCTTTTGTATATGTATTGGAAATGTGGACATCTTTTTTGGAGTTGCAAGGTTCTCTTCCATTTTGGATTATGCGCTTCTTCTCATTGACCTGTAGAATTTCGTTATATATCCTTGTCTTTTTATTCTGCATATCAAAGGTGATACAATTTTAGTATAGTAAAATTTATCATAATTTGATTTTACATAGATTTGTTTTTAAATGGGCCAGAGAGAGTGGTGTAAATATGTTTTATCCGTAAGTATTTGGTCTACATCATGTGGATTCAGATGTTTTTATACGCATAGTTCACAAATAGGTATGTACTGATAACATACACTTCTTACTATGAAACACTCCCTAATTCTTTCATTCTTCTCTCCTCCCTAACATAGTACATAGATAACTATTTCTGAATTTTATATATATGTGTATTGAAATTTTTTGTCTCTTTTCCTTTAAGTCTGTATGCATTTTACTATTAGTTATAGCAGTGTACTTTCTCCAATAATTAGTTTGGTTTTATACTGAAGAGGATGAGATGTGTTTCTCTTCTGTAAAGTGATGAAAACTTTAATATTATTAAAAATGGAAAGTAGACGACTTAAATTGTAGTTGTATATTCATGCACCTACCAAAGAGTGAGATTTTTACTGATTATTTAGGATCTAGGTATCCAGTAATCTCCTGTTGATCTTTTTCTTTCTCCCAAAGATCCCTCATGTCCATGATCAGGAAACGATCCCACCCCAGTGGCAGTGGTGCTAAGAAAGAAAAGGCAACTCAACCAGAAGCAAGTAAGCATCACTTCCATTGGTGTAAGTGCTTGACGGTGTACGGCTTGGGGGCAATTCACATGTTTGTTAAGTTCTTTGACAATAAACATGTTGTTGTATAACATTTATAGTATAAAGCACTGAACAGCTATAAGAATGAACCAGTGACTGTCATTGCCTTCCTGTAGTTTATTATCTAGAGGAGATAAACACGCACACCTCACTGTAATGAGAGACATACTGGCAAATATATTTTCATTAAAGGTCAGGGTACCTTGGAGTGTACTGGAGAGAGAGGGAGTAATTCCAAATGAGGGATTTGGGGCAAGACTTCTTAGAGTTGGTAGCAAGTGACCTGGGACTTTGTCAAACACTTAGTATGTACTACTCCACTGTTGTGTGCTGGAGATACACGATATAGAAGTTACATTCTAGTGTAACTAGGCAGGAAGTAAACAAGGAAATATGTAATTATTTAAATACAATTAAGGAGGAGTACACGGTGCTAAGAGATAGTGGAAGTGGACTGCTGGTGTCTGAAAGTGATGTTCAAGCTGAGTAATTGTGCCTTTAGAACATTGGGTGGGTCGGGTGGGTGGTGTTTAGGGTAAAACCATTTCAAATAGAGGAGCAGCGGATTCAAAGGTCCAAAGTGTCCAGGAAGGAACTTGGTATATTAGGAAACTGAAAGAAAGTTGATATGACTGGAACATGGTGGCCAAGAGAGGAGGTCTAATAGGTAGGCAGGAGCCAGATTCTGGAGGTCAAGGTCAAGGTTCTGGAATTTCTCCTAAGAGCAGTAGAAGTTTTAAGCAGAGGTATAACATGATGAGAATTGTCCTTAAAAAAAATCGCACTGGCTGCAGTGAGAGAACAGACTGTAAATGAATGAGGGTGGATGAGGGAAGACTATTGCAGTCATTCAGATGAATGTTGATGGTAGCTTCGATGAGGGTGGTAGCAGCAGGGGTAGAGAGACATGCATGAATTCAGGAACTATTTAGGGAGGTAAAATTCACAGGACTCTGGTTCACTGGAGATAGAGATATACAGGACAATGATTAGATGGGACTGGAGGGAGAAGGGCCCTCCCATTGAGCAGAGCCAGCAAGTGGCTAGATGCACTGGAGTCGGTTTGGTGTGCACCCACAGTGACAGCAAAGGCTTAAAACAAGGGGGCCAGATCTTGGTCCTCTGTGCCTGCTGTTCTAACTCCATAGCCTCCATGCAGATTCGGGGCAGATAGCTGCTGTGTTCCAGACTCTTCGAACACATGAGTAGCTCATTACCATGCATTGTGACAGCATTTTGCTTTAAATTCTGTTACTTTAAGGATTTAATGTCCCACTCCCTACCTCTACTCTGGCTGTGGTGTTTGAGTCATTTCTACCTCTCTCCCCTGAGCAGATTGTAAGCTCTTTGAGGGTTTACTCTTCTCGGCAGCATCCCCCTGCTTTCATGCATATTGAATGAATTGAAGTTTGGACTTTGTTTTTTTGTCTCTTAGCAGGAATCTTGCAGCACCATTACAAATGAAAGCTGATTTTGTCTCTAAGAATTGGCTTTCTGTGCCTGCCTTCTGCAATCCTTTGGACTCTATTCCTCTGTACATTAATGGGGCTGGAAGGCAAATTCTGCATTGCACAGGCATTGCAGGATTCTAAAGCAGTTCTGCCTTTGGTGATTTGCTGGGCAGCCCTGCTCTTGGGTTACTGGCTGTTAGCGTTTCCTGATGCTATAATTTAAATTTTGTTGCAATTTTTTCGGGGGAGACAATTGGTATATCTTAGAGGATTGGGGGGAAATCGGAATAAAATGAATTTTCCTTCCAAGTAAATCACATCATCAAAAGAAAAATTATTCTAAAATTTTTTAACCCCCAATTTTAGGAACTATACAGTTTTTCTTACAAAAATGATATTTATTTATAATTCATGAAATGTGACAGTATTTTCTCACACATCCTTGGGCTACCGGATTGCTATTTTGGGATTCTAAGTAGAGTTACCAATATAGAAGTTGCTCTTGAGATTTTTAGACTGGAGCAACCCTAAAAATCATACAGCGTTGAATAATACATACTGTACTCACACGTGGCTGAAGCAGTACCCTCTTTCTATCTGGCAAGGCAGTTATTTATAGTGTCTTGTTAATAGGTCACACTGAAAAAATAGTTGTTGAGTGAATAAATCAATGATTAAATGCATGATGAATTAATGTCAGGCATCAAACATTGGAATTCTCTGTGACACTTTGGGGTTTGCATTTATAACATAGTGACTTGTCTCACATTCACTGTGTTTTCTTTCTTAGGTTAGCATCTTACGATGGCTTTTAACTTACAGTTGATGAGGTTTTCAGAGTTTATAAGTGGGGGAACGTTTACTCCTTACTTATGGCTCTAAAAAACTTCACTGTAAAGAAAGACTGCAGAATATTTTATAGTTTTAAGAATTGAATGTAAGAGATCATTACACTCTGGAGATAATAACTCTGATTTTGACAAGAATGTATTTATTAGGCCAGTTCTGGATTTCGAAAGTATGCCTACTGTTAATCATACATTCAGGTCATGAATTTGTTGGTATTTTCTTACTTTGCTGTGCCTTGATTTGCTAATCTGTAGAATGGGGATAATAGTACTTCCTATTTCACAGGATTGTTGTGAGAATTAGTGAGTCTCACAATGTGAAAAGTGTTTAGAGTAGTATCCATCACAGAAAATACTCAAAATGTTACCATGGAAAAACATGGAAAAGGTACTAGCCATCATGTGGGAGGGGCAAAGGGAATCCTCATCCCACAGGTTCTTGTGATTATTGTAGCTAAGGAAATTTCTTTAACTTTATGACCTGATGTCAGATTTGAACTTAATTCAACTATAAGGTATTCTTTAGAAATTTGGTACATCATGGTGGCATAAGATTTTTTTTTTTAAATTACCTTAAAAAAAAAAGTTAGTGAAATAGTAATCCTGTGGAATTTGGAAATTCATTTTTTTTCTTTGAGGTAATAACAGAAGGTTTTATTTAGTAATCAGGTGATGGTTTTGTCTGTGGGTCTTTTTTTTTTTTTTTAAAGGAACTAACTTATTTTTCAAGTGGATCTTAAAATTTAAGCCCCAGTTAATTACATGTAGCTTTCTGATCCAAGACTGACCTTGAAGCACTAACTCAAAGAGCATTTGATTTCATTTTCCTGTGGCAGTTCAATAACATTAGACCTGTTGTCTTCATTTGTCCCTTTTCTTTAATCTCCAGTATCCTGCATATTTCTATTGTCCCCTTGATTACATGCTTTTGTGAGACAATTACCAACTGTGTGATTGCAGAAAGAATTACAAAACATACCATGAGCTCTCTGTAGGTGATTCTTGCAGATTTATTAGAACTGCTTAATAGTTTAGAAGTTCATATAGATTGCTTTTTGCTAGGTCAAAAACAGGATCGGCAAGAGAGAAAGCTTGTGTGGCTAACCTCGCATTGCTCTTGTATTGCGCCTGAGTAGGGAATCTGATAAGAATGATTTCTTTTCCTTAAAACCAATTCAGCCTTTACATTTGAAAAAGACTGAGAAATTAAAGCCTGGTTTATAATCTGTACACAATACAGATAGTGGCACGTCTCTGAATTATCACTATGATTCTGGCAAGCAAATATAAGAAACTACTTTAAATTCCTGCTATGTTAGATGCTGTAGCAGATTTGAATGGTGTTGGCCATAATTCTCCATCTGTCTGCCTTAATTAGTTTTTGTATGGTGCATTTAATTGGGTTTCAGTCATTTCTTACAGAGTGCTAATCTGTTTGTAGGCGGTGTTCCTATTACCATGCAGCTCTTCCTAGACTCAAAATGGCAGACTTTCTGAAAAATCAAATGTTTTAAAAATGTATTTTCTATGGTGAAACCCCATCTCTACTAAAAATACAAAAATTAGCTGGGCATAGTGGCACGCGCCTATAATCCCAGCTACTCAAGAGGCTGAGGCAGGAGGATTGCTTGAACCTGGGAGTTGGAGGTTGCAGTGAGCTGAGATCGTGCCCTTGCACTCCAGCTCTGGGCAACAGGGCAAGACTCTATCTCAAAAAAAAAAAAAAAAGTATTTTCTAGATTCTCAGGAATAAATCCCACACCCATACCAGATGCTTGGATGGCAGATCTGGGTTTTGTCTCCCTGGGTTTTGAATAGGGTCAGCAAAAGCACTGTAGTTCACAACACATATGCAGATATTGAGTGAGTGAGTGAGTGAGTGAATGAAGGAATGAATGATTGAATAAATGAATGAATTTCTACCCATCATAATTTACTTATCTGTTCCTTTGTTGATGTTTGTGAACCATCAGAAGAAGCTGCCTAAGAAAATGCTGTTTAAGGGCACATGATTGATCAACCCACAGTTTAGTCATCTTTCATTTACTGGTAGATGAGTTCTAACTTTGGTGACCACGTTTCCCATGTTGCTTGGCAAAAGATACTTGTTTTGACTTCTGGATCTGAAAACTGTTGTTTAGATGTTAAGAGATTTTAATTCTCAGCATTTCAATGGCTTCTGAGGTTGACAATTCTCTTTGAAGTTAGGATGGTATCAGAAAATCTAGGTTATACAGTGAATATGGCAGTGATCCCTCTTTGTGGACTTGTAGAGATGAGGATAATGGAAACTTCTGGTCTCTCTTAGTTGCTCCCCTAGGCACTTACACAAGAGGAATGGCTACCCAGGGTTGAAATGGAGTCTGGCCTTGTAGCAGAAAAAGAAGCCATAATAAGGCCTCCTTATTGCAAAGCCTGATACTGGAGCTAATTGGCTTGGGGATGCAGTAGTGATTGCCTGCATTTAGAAGCCAGCCTTTTGGGGTTTAGTCATTTCTACTCAAATCGTAAAGACATTAGTAGCCATTTAAAGCAGAAACTTCAGAAGCCAATAGTCAGTAGAGACTTGTTGAGCACCCACCATATTGCCAGGCAGTGTAGAGTCTATTAAAGACGGTAATTGGAAGGTCCCTATGAGATAAACTCAAATATGAAGGCTGCAGTGAGCTGGATGGAGGTAAACACAAGACCTAGAACTGCATTAATGGTGATAAATGTTCTGAAATGGTTCTGTGATTTTGCTCAAGCTATTCTACAAGAGAGACATTTCACTTTTCTGATCAACAGTTTAAGTTCACCTCAGTTACATTCATCCAATTGATACACATCTCCACCTCTTTTTTATTTATGTATTTTTTTTTTTGCAGCAAAGTAGTGGCAAGTTTAAACAATAGATAGTTGAATTTTAAAATCAAATGTAATTACTTAATTGCAATTATTGCTACATGTGTTTTCTTTTAACAGTGACAATTTAAAAAGACTTGAGAAAGGTTTGCTTAAATGTTTCCTTTCCATATGATTCCTAAACAAAAGATGGCAATTTAAAAATAGATTTTATTTACTTGCTGTTTGTCTTTTGACTATAGACTTATTCCAACAAGAAAAACATCTATTTCATCTTTTTTTCCCCTAATGGATTTCTGGTAGTTGTTTCTTTTTGGGGCTGATTTCTTTGACATAGGATGTACAGTAAGTTGTAAAAACATCTTTGAGACAAAGATTATTTGGGATTAGGCACAAAGTTGGGATTTTAAAGACCTGGAAAAATGCTGACAAATGAACAAAGTCTACTTTGTTGACAGAGGCAAGACAATACTGACTTGGATCCAGGCTACAGATTTTTATAACTCTTATTTTTCTGATCAGATTTTTTTCTGTAAAAGTTTTTCCTTTAAATGTTGCTACCTGATAGCTATTAACTTTAGTAAATTTTTAGTGTTCTGCAACTGTGAATGAAAAATGACCATGATTAATCACATAGTGTAATTTTTCCAAGTCACCAAAAAATAGGAAGTAGCTGTTTTCTTGTAACATAAGAGGATTTATGTATGTGTTCTTTGAACAGCTGAAGAAGTCACAGATCTAAAGAGGCAAGCAGTTGAAGAGATGATGGATAGAATTAAAAAGGGAGTTCATCTTAGACCCGTTAATCAGACAGTCAGACCGAAGACAAAGGTATGGAGTGACTAAATGCTTTTTTCCCTGCTTGATATTTCCTTTTTTAAATGTACAGATTTGAAATTTGATGAAAACTGCATCAGGACTCACTGTCAAATCTTAGGATAAAGCTAATGTGTCACAAAAACTTTTACTTCCACATAAGCATGTTTCAGGAGGATCCATGGTGAACCTAAATCAGTATAAAATGGAAGCCATGTTCTTTTGGGGGTGCTGTCATCTCATTACGAGAGACAGTGATATGAACTGTTACACCAAACAAATAACAACGATCACATCCTTTCTTTTGATTCCTGATTCTTTTGTGTGATTCTACTGATTATCTACTATGCGCCAGATACTGTTTTAGGCACGGGGGATAAAGTAGTGAACAAAATAGGCAAACACCCTCGCCTTTCTGAGGCTTCTATTATAGTGGACGGAATCACATAATAACAGCAGAACAAAACCAGGACAACTTTGGGGAAAATAGTGAGACTTATATGATTGTTTTCATTAATTTCACAAATGTTTTCCAAGTCACTTCAAGGAGAAAAACTCTCTTCTAAACTAGACCACAGCGAGTGCTCCAGGATCTGTGGAGGCGCTTAGAGTCCCTTTCATGATGTTTCCCCTGCCTTTGTTTGTATATCTGTTACATTTCAATAAGCCCAATAATAGTTTTAAACATTTTTCTTGAAAAATATTCTTTCTCCTCTCTAATTAGGTATGAACTGACCGGTTCTTTCTCTTCTTCCACTTCCCCTTCTTCCTTCCCCTTCTTCACTAACCTTTATGGTTTGGTTATTTCTCCCTCTCGAGGCTGCCCTGCCTCAACTGCGTGAACGTCCCCCAGTGTTATGACTGTTCAGTACACATTCTGAGGGTTTTGTCTTTTTTCTTTCTTTCTTTCTTTTTTCTTTTAGACGGAGTCTCACTCTGTCACCAGGCTAGAGTGCAGTGGCGCAATCTCGGCTCACTGCAACCTCTGCCTCCTGTGTTCAAGCGATTCTTCTGCCGCTGCCTCCCAAATAGCTGGGACTACAGGCGCCCGCCACCAAGCCCAGCTAATTTTTATATTTTTAGTAGAGACGGGGTTTCACCATGTTGGCCAGGATGGTCTCGATCTCTTGACCTCGTGATCTGTCCGCCTTGGCCTCCCAAAGTGTTGGGATTACAGGCATGAGCCACCGTGCCTGGCCTCTGATGGGTTTTCTAAGTTGCCACTTTGTCACAGGCAGGCAAAATAGCCATGTAAGGCGAGCGGGGCTATAGTGTGGGCTGTACGTGGGAAAGGATTGGAAAGAGGAAAAGAATACTCAACTCCAAGAGTAAATTTACATCTAAGGAAACAGAAGCTTCAGCCAACCACGTAAAATAGTTCAGTCTTGTGCCAATGATCTGAAAGCAGTTTTCTAAGTAAAGGATGAAATGTAAAAGTGGAGGAGAAGCTGAGTGTGTAGAATGATCTGGCACAGCTGGCCCAGTGCTGGTGTCTGGCAAGAGAGTGAAGAGCAGAGCTGTTGGAGTTGGGCCCTGGCACTGTCACCCAGCTTCCCCACACTTCTTCTCTTCAAGATGGGGACAGCACCTGTCTTATCTGACACATGGGGTTGTTGTCAAGATCAAATGGAATAAAGTGTGAAAATACTTTAAAATGCAAGGTCTGAGTGCCACCTTTGAAAAAGAATCCATTTTTATGACTTTCACATCACCACTAATTATGGAAAGAATAAGCAAAACCAAACTATTTACTAGAGAAAAACGCAATGCCATAAAGAAGCAAAATTAGTTTCGAAAGAAAAAGGTTGAAAACTTCTTAAATCATAAACAATGTTCCATACATACTTTCATTTTCAGAATATCACTGTGTGCTTTTTCTTTCTTCCCATGACTCTTCCTGCAGTTACACATTATTTAATGTCAGTTCAAACTCTGGGAAGCAACTGAGCAAGGATCAGTGGACGACTGGGTTTTCTTGCGGGTAATCTTAAACTGTGCAGATATAGTGCTGAATGACCTGGTCAATAACCTTTAAAACAGACGGTCGCTGCATGCTTGAGGACAGACGTCTTCCCCTAGTACCATCAGGGCTCTCCTGAAATGTCACAGATGGTGACATTTTGTGGTCCAGGGTGCAAAAGGCTTGTGCGGTCAGAGGGCAGCCTGAGTGGCATGGCAGCACTTTCGGGTATGCCTAAAGGCAGGGCATTTGTTTGAACGTCACAGCTTATCACCTGAAGGGATGACCTGCAGAAGTCAAGCCTGCCTTGAGAATATTAATTTAACCGCTTATTTTCTAAATTCCTTTGGTGGTGGTGTTGGTGCCAGTGTGGTTGAAATTAGTGTCTTAGTGCTTATTGACTGGCACTAAGGGCATGTGTATTTCACAGAAAATCTGCGCTATGAGAGCTGAATGCCTTAGCTTTGCACATGAGCAGCAAACCTCTCTCTCTCTTACTTCTCTGTTTTTAAAATTTGAAGTAGGATCTTATTTTTAGATTCTGTTTTTGAGAGGAAAGGATTATAGGTTGCTGTTGATTCACTCTCATTTTTTGATGAGAGAGAATATAACCTTACCTCTTCTCCAGGAATAAGAGGCTCAAGGGGTTCCTTTCACTGTGTCTGGCAAGTTTCCCCTTCATCTCTATCCTTCGTGAAAGGAAGTGGTACGAGGGAGAGCAGAAGTCTTTTCTGAACTTACTTTTTATGAGGTTCTCATGCGAAATTTTCCCTCCATTAATTAGTTGAGTGATCTACAGAGATCGTTAGGTATTGTGGGGCAGGCAAATCATACCCAGAATTTTACTTCAAATCGTTTTGTCCGTGGTATGGCCAGAAGAGAGCTGAGCTTGTAATCAACACACCTAACTCAAATACTACCTTGCTCAAGCCTGACTTTCCCTCCAAGATGAGTGATTGGACTGCCCCTCCTCTGAGGTCTGTGACTGCTCTGGCAGCCAGCCATGCTAACTTTCTCCTGTAGCCAGGTGCTTTGCTGGACCCTGCTCTCTGGACTCTGTCCTCTTGGGAAATTCTTACATGCCAGGCCCCTGTAAGCTGACCTCCTCCCATAGCTTGTGGAGCTGAGAGAGAGGGTTTCTGCCCTGTGGCTTGCTTCTGCTCTGCACTGCCTTCTTCCTAGTCCCTGCCTGCTGGCAGAGTCCAGCAATGCCGGTGGAGAACAGTTTACTGTAAGAAGCTCTGAATAATTTGGAATCAGACCTTTGAAATTTGATGTTTACCAAATCTTCTCTATGATAATAATCAAGAGGTAACAATATGGTATTTAGAAGAGGGTAGCTTGTCTCCTTTCGCTTTGAATATAACTTCTTTTTTGTTTAACTGCTACTTGAGAGCGCTAACATGGCTAGTATTTTTTCCTAACCTTAAGACATAGACCTAATTTAAAAATATACATAGTCATATATATTACCAATATAAGGCTACTAATACTTTGCCATGTAAAAATCATTGTTTAGTATCTTAAAACTGAATTACTCAGTAATTTTTCTTTCTTTTTAAAATTATAGCCAGAATCTTCTAAAGGCTGCGAAAGTGCAGTGGATGAACTAAAAGGAATACTGGTAAGAATAGATTTCGGTTTATTGTTTAATGGGGAAATGAAAGGAGAGTATTTTAAAATCTGTTTTTTTGTGAGTTGTTTGTGGTGTGTTTTATTCCCATTTACAATTAGCCTCGTCTTTGGCCAGTTTGATTGTGCTTACAGACTGCTCTATCACATATGTTAATAATGTATCAAATAACACTGTGCTGTTTTTATTCTAAAAGAGTGGTTACACTTTCACCAAAGTCATGGTTTCCTGTTCTTGCCCTCCAATCCTGGCATCACAGCTTGAAGATGAAGTGTCTGGCCATATGTAAGGATCCGTACATGTTGATGAAAAACAGAAATACAATAGATGAATAATGCTTTACTTTGAAGCCTGAAAGGAGAATCCTAAATGTGAAGCTAAGCGCCTCCCCAAATATCTTCGTAACAGGGTCACAGTCTGCCTTTCCTCACAGTCAAAACAATTATTTGATGATAAATTGAGGAATAAAATAAGAGGCCCTTTTTTATGTTACTAATTTTATTTTCTGACGGTTGGAGAGCATGCTTTGTGTCCCTTTCTAGTCATATTTTTGCTTTTCAAACTGTGAGCTTTTGCCGTGGAATCAGCGGCTACTGCACTCTCCAGCCGTTGCTGTCAGAGACAGATGCCTCACTTAGAAAATGTTTCAGATATTAAGAGCTCTATTCTCAGATCCTGTTTCAGTCCCAATCCCAGTTATTATGCACAGTAAGTCAACAAACATGGGGGCGGAGGTACAGGACTGAATACTCGCATGTTTGTTGTTGCTGTGCTAATTATGCATTGCATGTAGACATCCACATAATTGTGGTAAACAGGATTATTTTCATCAAGCATGTCTTTAAACAGTAGACTTAACCCAGAATGGCTTAATTAGTTTGCTTTAGTTTTAAGTGAGTGGGATTAGCACTGAAGAGAGGTGTATCACTGGCTAACAGTGGTGGCCTACCTACAGAATAATGTATTAAAGCCATTGAAAAAGTGTGTGGTGATTATCTAATGGATTCTTTGATCAGAAAAGTCTGTTATTCAGTGTTCTATTAAGGAGACCTCCCTATGACAGTCTCTTTTGTTATGTTTGTGTCATAATGCTAATTCATATTCATAAAGATGTCCCCTGGGGCACGGTTCTGGTCAACAGTGAAAGAGTAGACTATACTGAGTTTGACTTTTTTAAAATTAGGTTAATTTTGAAAATCAGACATTTCTATGAGGTACATATGATAATATTTGATTAGCCAAGATATCCCATTCTCTGAGAATGCTGGATGGTAGCAAGTTTACTGAATTACAGCATTACTCTTAAATACCTTATTCACCATAATTTTGTGCCACTTCAAGGAGAGAAATTCGTGAAATAATTTATAAATTATAAAAAAGTTTAAGGCATCTTTTTTAATGCAAATTGCCCCCATCCTTCTTGCCTTGGATCTATCTTTAGATCTCACCGCCTTACCTGGCATTAGTGTATCACTAGGAGTTACTACTCTGACAATATTATTTCTTTACCTTAAGTTTTTTTAAAAGTAGAACTCATGATTCTCTCCCCTACTCTTTGCCAAGTGGCAGTTCTCCTCTTCCCCCATAGAAGTTTCTTTGAGGGAGGATGGACTATTTGTAATTCCCTGTCACCTGGAGCCTATAAACCACACACATTCTTATAAAAAAGAGAAAAAGAAAGCTCCTAGCTCAACGTGCCAGACATTTGGGTCTTTGGTGGTGCTTGTTGCTGAAGTTCAGACTAGTTCGATTATTGAAGTTAGTACCCTGTAAAACACATGGTGCCAACCTCACAATCAAGGCATGTAAGAAACAATTAAGATGAACACAAAAAGCCTGCATTTTGTGTACTGAAAAACACAAGCACTGGTACCAGGGGTTGTCAAGAAACCAAGAAACACTGGGTTTGGTTCTATTGTGGAACAGAACCAGAAAGAAGCTCAGTGTGGGTTATTTTTTGATGAAATGGAATGTGACCCAAGTTGTAAGACTTAGTGATTTGGCCTTCTGCTAAGTTAGCCCACAGGTAGAAAACAAGTCTCTGGTTTGGGGGAGTTTCAAAGCCCTATTCTATTTTCTGAGTTGAACAATTTTCAAGCCAGTTTTTAATGTCTCAGTATTGACAGACCTCCTTTTTCCAAACCTACTTCCACTTAAGTTTTAAAGCTGGGTATTTTGTAGATAAAAATATGTATAGTCCATTTCTCATAGTCACAGAAGGTTTTGAGGTTTAGGAAATGAAACCTTTTGAGTCACCGTAGTTACTTAAAAAGCCACTCTAAGTGACAGTGGTGATTTCTGAAGAATAGATTGATACAAATCAAAATTCTCTTCTCAGTTTCGGTTGGCTGTAAATCAAAGAACTAAAATCAACTTTTAAAAAATTATATGGGTCTTTTTCAGACATCTTCAGTTTTCCAAAATACCCAGAAGTTTTTGAATAGTTAATTTTGCCTGACAATTAGATTAGTCAGTATTATGAACATTTGACTAGCGTGGGGCCTAAGATTGTTAAATGATCACAGTGGTTTGAAGTAGGAAAAGAGTATTGGTTTCGGACTTGGGAAATCTAAGTGCTAGATCCAGCCCTATCAATGACTTATTGTGGGACCTGTCCCTAGACCCTGAGGCTCACTGAGTTTGAATTCTCTTTTCTATAAAGTGAAGGAATTATATGTACCACAGTTTCTCAGTTAATTTCTGATTCTCAAATTGTATGTTTCTAATATAAAGAGATAACTAAAATAGTCTTGGTATTTTATTAGCTGAGTTCTTCATCATTTCAGTTGAGAGTCATGCAGAAACCTTTCTTTCCTCCACAATTGCCCTTGTATTGAAAGTTTACTCATATATTAGCTGAAGCCACCACATCCATCAGTAAATGGAGAAAGAAGTTGGGGATTCAAGGGTTAGAACATGGAAAATGGATACCTTCAGTAATCAGGTATGATGAGAGAGTAGCTTACCACAGTCAAGAATTTGAGGAAATAATGCCATTATCCAAATAAAAAGCTAGAAAATATTGTGAAAGATACATTCATCAATAAAAGATATCCTTGAAAGGTATGTATGTATATACGAACACACACATTATAAGTTTTCCTTGAATTAAATCAAGCCATTGAGAAAAATTACACAGTGTCCTTGCTATTGAAACAATGTAGTAGTTTTACAACTTATTTTAGTAGTGATGACCTTATGTTTTTCAAATATCTGTTTACAAATGATAGAGATGGTAAGTTTTAAAAAATTATCAATACAAATGATATGGGAATAGTAGTTGTAGTACTTTTTTCAAATATAAAGTGGCTATGGTTCTATTTTCTGTATCTTGTCAGTATCGGTCACACCTCACGGTGTGACTCTTCTACACGTAGAAGCATATCAGCAATGTTAAAGAAACAAACCAGATTTTAATGATAAAATAAGCCATTAAAGTGTTACATGTGATGTGATAGTCCTTTTAATGTATTTAATGAATTTTCACAATAAATGAAAAGCAAAAAGAGATACTTCTAGGGAAAAAAATTGTATGCCTGATTAAAATATGAGCCTTATTTAAGTCTTCTGCAAACCAGTTGATTAGGCAGCTGACAGCAAAATAATATGATCTCCTAATCTTGTTACGTCAGTTTCTTCCCTGACAACGGGTTACTTTTCTATAACTTTAAGCAGTTGGGGAAAAACTTCCCTAAACAAAATAACATAACCTCTGTTATATGAGATTTGTAGCCATTTGATTTTATAAGCACCTTTTTTTTGGTTTGTTTTATTTTATAGGCTAAAGAAGAAACAAGGGTTACCATTTTTAGCCACTAGAGTTCTTAGAACCCTTCAGGGAGTTGGCAGGCAGGGAGGGAGCGGGATCAAGGCAAATCTTTAGTGAGTTCAGACATTACAGAGGCTGGGAAGGTTTTTAGCCTTGGTGGGCAAAAGCTGCCTTTTGGCTCTGGCATGAAGTCTGGCAAGTTACACCAGACCTGAGGTTCTTATTTCCTCTGATCAAAAGATTATGGTTCTCCTGCCTTCCCCTCCCTCCACTGTCTCCCAAGTATGTGGCACAGTTGAGAAGGACCATTTCAAAGAAATAATGGGCATCTCTTATGAAAGACTTGTTGATGTATTAAATCCTTATATATACTGAGAAATACGTCCCCCAGTGTTCTGTACAGACACTTGACTAGTAATGGAGATGGAAAACCATAGCTCTCACTCTGTAACATACTTCTCGGAGGAGCCAGAGCAGGGAAACATGGATCTTTCTCTGTCTTCTTGAAAGCCAGTATCAGTTTCAGCAGGAGTACAGATTTATAGCATCTCTTGTTTCCCTCAGTGTCTTCTGGGCCCTGAATATTACATTAACTGTCCCCTGTGTTAGGAATGTGGAGTTAAGATGCCGACCCTTGCTTGCCTCTCTGTATGATTATAACTTTCCTTTCATACTGAAGTCAAGATGTGCTCAGTGCAGCCCTTCTTTGGGTCGGCCCCTGGAGAGCATTATGTGCCTCCTTTGACAGCTACGACGCCACGGACATCAGGTGTGCAGCCAGGGTCACCCTCTGAAGGATCAGTCACACATTTTTCAGTGCCGCTGTGATTTCAGTTTAGTAGCTTGTGGCTGCCATATAAACATATCCTTCTAAGGTGAGTTTAATATATCAATTCTCTTCTCCACCCAGTCAACACACATCAGTCTTAATCGTCGATATGCAGGTACCTTCCCACTGATGAATTTCACACAGTCACCTCTTCCAGAAGTGTTCTTGTACTGTTCTTCGGAAACAAAAGCTAGTATTTACACCATCAGTAGCATCTTCTTAAATGATCCAACACTGTCTTGTTGAAAATGTGCGCATTTAAAAAATATTAATATATAGCAAATTCATTTTGTTTCATAATTCCATTCAAATTCTGGTAATGTTTTCATGGTTTGATTTTTATATTCTTTTGTATATTGTATTAAGACATTAACCTTTTTGTTTTTGTTTTGTTTTCACTTTAGGGGACACTTAACAAATCCACTAGTTCAAGAAGCTTAAAATCCCTTGACCCTGAAAACAGTGAAACTGAGTTAGAAAGGATTTTGCGTCGCAGAAAGGTGACAGCAGAAGCAGATAGCAGTAGTAAGCCGGTTTGAATTCTCCACAGTCCTTCTCTTCATCTCTGAAACATCTTCTTCTAAGTCTCTTTTAACATGAAACAAGCTTTTAAAAATTATTATTAAAATATTTATTTTTAATATGAGTGAGAAGTATGGGATGGGTAAAGATATTTATGGATATCTCATAAGAACTCTTAGATATTTTTATTTATTGGTATGTTTATTTATTTGTAGGTAACCAGGCATTTATAGATCTGCTTTGTTTAATGCAAGATGCCCTTGTGTAAAGACATTCAGGAAGAGTTTTGGCAACAATATAGCATCAAATACAGGCTCTGGAGCCAGACCGCCCAAGTTTGAGGCCTAGTTCTCTTGTATACTAGCTGGTTGCCCTTAAGCAAATTACTCAACCTCTTTGTGCCTCAGTTTCTTCATCTATAAAATGAGAATAATAAAAGCACTGCTTCATAGGATTATTCTAAAGATTAAGTCAATATGTGAAAAATGCTTAGCAATGTGCATGGCACGAAATAAGCACACAATAATTAGTAGTTGCAGTAGAAATTACACATCAGTTACAAATGCAAGAAAATCATCCTTACTCTTTGTATCCCTTTAGCTTAATGTGCCTACTTGTGAACTGAGTGACTGGGAAATTCCAGCTCTGTCACCGACAATAATGTACCTACCATCTGAGCAAATCTCGAGCTCACAGTTTGTATTTGTGTGACATTAGGTCTGTATTAGGCCTCAAAATATTTCCCAGAACTGTGCGTGTCTTCAGTGGTTTCATCAGCTCGGTCATGGGAATTAATGGAAACCTTTATGAGATTTCCCTTTGTGGCCAGGTGAGAACCGACTTCAAAAAACTACCTTAAAGTAAAATTAATCAGCAACCACGGCTAATGGGCTGAGGCTTCTAGATTGAGTTCAGTCAGCTTCAAGTAGTCTATCATAATAGTTTAAATCTGGAAAATACTGAGTCACATTGACCAAATTTAAGTAGCTAGAATATTAAAGACGGGTTTTTGAACATCAAGTTCTAATGTTCAGAGAGAGATTTACTCAGACAATTGAGTAAATTGATTCCTCGAACCCAAAGTGGCTTAATACCAACCAAACTTCTGTTATAAAAAGAGGAAACTTTTGTTTTCTTCTTTAAAAAAAAAAAATCAGCCATTCAGTTTTTAGGTTGGTTTGGAGGTTCTATTATTAAAATCTTACAAAGATTCTCCCCGCCACTGTGCCCCCCAAAACAACTACCTCAGGAAAATTAAGGGGGTGCCACAGCATTTTTTTCTTAGGATGGCTTTGTGAGCATTATGCAGCCTCCACATAACATATAATCGTTATTCATTTTGTGACTTAATCAGTGCTTGAGTCATCCTTTACATCATTTCAGCCTTAAAGTGCTCATGTAAACATTGCTATTTTTAAGGACTTTGTTGATGTGCCATTTTAGTGCTCTGTCATTCACATTTTGTGTTTTGCCACTGGCTTTTTTGTTCCTCCAGAAACATTCCTACTTCACTCACAAATTTGGTCAAAATGTGCAACACTCACATTTCAGAGTTAATTTTCAATGTAAGAAGTGAGCAGAGGTTTTTATTTCAGTTAATACAGAAATTTGAATATTTCACAGAGTACAGAAAGGAACACATTTCGTGTACATGATGGGAATCTTTCATTTTATGTATTATATTCCACCAATATACAAATATTTGTATTATTTTAGGGCAGTTAGAAAATACATATTCAGTAGAACCGTTAATAAATGAATAGAAAAATGAGAACTCATTGGTGAGGTAGAGAGCAAATACACGCTAAGAGAGTGACTTGTAATTGAGTAGAAATTTCCTTTGAGTTTCCTAATAGCCAAAGCAAAAGAAAAAAAAGGAAGGAAACAAACTTACAAACTCTTATCATCTAAAAAAGAAATCATACCATTTTTTAGGTGGTAAAAACATTTTTCTATTATCAAACTAGAGGTGGCTTTTACCATGTGAGTATTTTTACAAAGGCTGTGGAGCGACAAATAAAAATTCCAGGGGGGAACCTAAGGAAGAAAGTAAAGCCGCAGAGCTGCATGGGGGGAGTCAGGTGACAGAGGTGAGGAGTTGGATAGGTTGGTGTCTCAGGTACTTGAATCTCTGGGGTGATTTTCTTCTGCCCACAAAGGCTTATGGGAAAGTAAATGTGAGGTCACCAGTAGAGAAAGGAAACGTCAGAAGGAGAGACAGCCTGAGAGTTTGCAGAGCTAAGATCTCAGGTTAATGGTTATCTTCCCCAGGGACAAAGGATGTTGTACCCTTTTCCTTAGGATTTTTCTTATGCATCTAACTGATGCTCCCTTGTTTTACCTAGCCTTGTGGCCTACCAAACTAACATTTCAAAGAGCGGCAAGTGCCTCTTGGAGAACATTGGGCGGCTTAAACAGGATACAGTAATAATAATCTTAAACAGTGTACATTTTTTAAAATGTCTCTTTGTACACAAGAAAAATATAAGAGCTGTAGCTTAGCTCACTACTCTCCTTCCTTTTTGCAGAAAATGTGTTGGTGTATTCAGAAGCAGATCTTTCTTACAAGGACAGGTTGTTTAAAGCTACCTAGTGTTGTAGTCAATGCTTATCCAAGGGCAGAATAGAGCTGATCAGAAGCAAATCTTGAATTCAGCTTCGTATTTATATTTTCAGGAACTCTAATATTAATTGATCTTTGTGTTCTGCCGTTCTCTCTTAACTGCCACAGCTCCATGCAACATGAGGCTTGACATAGCTGGGAGGAAAAGGCCTTTTTTTTTTTTTTCTTTTTTCCCCCCGCTCTGAGACGACGTCTTTCTCTGTCACCCAGGCTGGAGTGTAGTGGCGTGATCTCGGCTCACTGCAACCTCTGCCTCCCGAGTTCAAGCGATTCTTTTGCCTCAGCCTCCCATGTAGCTGGGATTATAGGCGCCCACCATCACACCCGGCTGATTTTTGTATTTTTAGTAGAGACAGGGTTTCACCATGTTGACCAGGTTGGTCTCTGACTCCTGACCTCAGGTGATCTGCCCGCCTCAGCCTCCCAAAGTGCTGGGATTGCAGCATGAACCACCACGCCCAGCCGAAAAAGGCCTTTTAAATCAAAATATCCAATAATGTCCAAACTTGTCTGCCTAGAGAGTATAGGTGAATTAAATAGGGAAGATAGAAACTAATGCTTTGTAAACTGGGGCTTCCACTAGAACAGAGAGGTCCTGTGTCACCTGCATAGAGCAAGGCTCAGAGAGGTGTCCAACAGAATGGGTTCACAAGTTTTTAGTCTCTCTTAGGTAGGTTTTTCAAATTAGACCTTCATTTTTAGAGTTAATATGTTACACTGTTATATTGAATACATCAGGCACATTAAATCGAAATGTAAGAATAGCATTCCAGAGCTTAATACCAGTAGTCAGGGATTAGCTAGCATTTTGGATTATACCCACTAGTACTTTCCATCTTAAGATGATCTGACATTTGTTAGGGATAGACACTCAAGAGACACCCAAGTTTTGTGCTTTTCTTACTGGCACATTTCAAGGTTATCCTCTCACTTTATTTCTAGAAATAGTCATTTAATTTGCATATTTGTGACTTATGTCATAAATCTCTTTGTTTTAAAAACATTTTCCTTCTGAAGTTTCAAGAAGTACTTACTAGAATCATGCTTTGAGGAAAGCTGACTAGGATAGAATCTTTCCACCTAAAATTAGGGACTGGCTTCAATGCCCAGAATTTTTAGATTAATATGCCAATAATTCCAGTAACATGTTTTATTACTGTTTTTAAATCCTGTCCTAAAGAGCAGAAAAGTCCAAAAGGTAAATAGCCAAACTCTTTCCCACTTAATTTTTATAATTTTGTGTCTGTGTTTTAAGAGGAAATAAATCCACTTACTTCTCATTCACATTAAAATGAAAATGTTCATAAAAGCTGTTTAATGCTCAAGAAGCCTTCATGAGCCTTTTAGAAAGAGCCTTTTGACATTGTTCCGTTTTCTGTTTAAAATGCAGAGCTGAGTTTTGGGAAGAATTAACTCTTGAGAGGCGAAATGGTTCAAGTAGGGCTGTCAGAAAGCCATACTCTATGAGAGGAAAAGACTTTTCACAATTCCACTATTACTAAGGAACCTGGTCAGTGAGGGAATTGTGGCCTGGGATTTTGTGTTTTCTTAAAGGTTTGTGCGCAATTTCTCAGCGTGGTCCTGATAGATTGAAACGTAGTAGTACCACCAAAGCAGAGCAGATTTCCAACAAGAACCTTTTCCAGCATGCTCTTGAAATTTTAACAAACGTGGCCTTTTCACTTCTTGAGGGATTTTCAGCTAATCTGTTTTTCAGTACCATATTAATAAGCATCATACAGAATTATTAAACTTGAGGTATGTGTTTGGTTTTAAGGTCCAACTGGGATATTAGCAACCTCAGAGTCCAAATCCATGCCAGTGTTGGGTTCTGTATCCAGTGTAACAAAAACAGCCTTGAACAAGAAAACTCTGGAGGCAGAATTCAACAGCCCGTCCCCCCCAACACCTGAGCCAGGTGAAGGGCCCCGTAAATTGGAAGGATGCACAAGTTCCAAGGTTACGTTTCAGTAAGTAACGATGCTCTTTACTAAGTGGTGTATAGAAGAATCTGTAAATGACTAACTTGTGTGTTTCTTTGATTTGTTTCTCTTTAGAGAGATTTTGATTTGGCTCGCCAATAAATTCTCTTCTTCTTTTCATTTGATGGGCCAGCTTTTCATTCTAGGCTCCTAGCTAAGAGATCTCATTCAGATCTAAAGCAAGTACCATGTACAAAGAGAATTACTTCCCCTAAACTGGTTTGGTAATCAGGTTCTTCTACACAAAGAATTGATCTGGATGATACAGACTCTGCATCAGGAGACACTTAATCAGTCTTCCAAGATTAAATACATAGATCATCCCTCTTAATGGATGAGCAGCCCAAGAAGATACTAGATCTTTCAGAGGCTACTTAGAAGGGCACGCTTTTACAACCTTCTTTTCTAGTCTTCAGTTAAAGATGTGCCTAATATTGCTCTATCCTGAAAATGAAAACATACGATGTAAAGAGTTATCTGTATAGACTTGCTTCAGAGTGGCACTTTGATTGTCAAAGAGTTAATCCTGCTATTGAATGCGTTTCAGACAGATCTAGTGGAGGATCAATTTGTTTTATAACAATGGCAGCTCTTTCTGAAATTAGTCTACAGTTTTGCTTTAGTTCTCTTGCCAGGATGTCAGCTAGTTTGTCACTTAAAGAAAAGGAAGAGGTGAGACAAATCAGATCAGCCAAATATTGTAATCATGGTTAATTAAACCTCTGATTTCCTGTCCTATCAAGAGAGAAAGAACCCCTTTTTTGTAACTCTAGCTGTCTTAGCTTAAAAGGTGAAACCTGGACAAATGAAGTTGAAATTCAATTTGGATCTATTTTTGCCCACTGATATTTTCTTCCTGTCTTGCATTCTCTCATTGCTACTATTAACTTTTTTTTCTCTTCTGGAATGAATGGCCTTCTTTGCTGATTTACAGTTTTATCTAATTTCACTGTGTTTAAAAGCACATTTTCTCCTGTAGTCATGTGTTTCCTTTCTTTTGACTAGAGTCATTTGAACAGTTCTAACAGAAAGATGATCTATATTCATTCTTCATCTTTCCTATTAAATTTGTTTAACACCTAATTTGACATCAACAATCTGGCTACATTTGAACCAATATCCCGACACAAAAGCAATTTGGCTGAGACAAGTTAGTTTCTGATAAATGCTTCAGTGTGTGTGTATAGATTTTTTTCCTTTACCATTTTACACAGATAATCTGAATCAGAAAATACTGCAACTCCTTCTTCCTTTTGTCTGCCTTTTGTTCTCCAAAAGTAAGTGGAAATTACATTTCCAAGTAAGGAAATGAAATAATTGCAGGCCCAAGGTCTGCAAAATGTGTGTTGAATTGACAGTGAAAAGGATCCATGTGTTGACAGACACAGTTGTTAGATGCCATAAAGGCGGATGTGAAGCTCAATTTATTTCTCATCTTGCTTGTTCAATGACTGCTTAAGAGACACATTCCAATTTAATTTATCTACTTAAAGCTCTAATACAAATACTGTGGACTGCTGTATTAACTTTTAAACTTTGTAACCTAATGCTCGATTATTTGGTTCTTGACATTCTTTAGCTAAATAAAATAACTGATGCTGTGTATTTTCATATTGACAGTAATTTATCAAATAAGAGCACCTTTCTGGAAAAATCTGTTTCTTAAGTATAATTAGACTATCCAGATTGAATCTGAGAATTTTGTGTATGTATAGGGTAATTATTTACCCAGACAGGCACACTTCATTCGTTTATGTTTAAACCTTTTAATGACTAAAAGAAGTTTAATTTAATGTAGTTACATGTAAGCTTTAACAGTTTGTATCATTTGTCAGAATCCCCTGAAACTGGCCTAGCTTCCAGGAATGAGAAGGGTTATTTTCAGTGCTGTTTCTGGCTGGCTTTGACTAATAAGTACTCTATTATACTAACCACATTGTCTTACTTTATAGACTTGGCCTGTCAAAGCACTTTGAAGTCGGGTCAGCAATTAATAAGTAAAATATTTCCTTTGCTTTTAAAAACTGTCTTTGCATTCTAGTAGTTACACTTCTGTTTCGATCTGTGGCAACACCACCGTTAGTGTTTCAGGTGAGTGGCGCTATTGGCTTTTGACCTGAATCAAGGTCAAGGGAGGATGCCAATGACAGTTGGCTCTAATACAGACATTACTGCCCCAACATATGTATGCATGTGCGCTCTCTCTCTCTCTGTCTCTCTCTCTCACACACACACACACACACACACACCAGCCCCAGCCACTGTAACTTCCCTTCCCCCTCCCCTTTGGCCTCTTTGTCCCAGTACCACTTCACTCTAGGCCCTTTGCTGCCTGTCGTGGTCTTCTCTAAGAGCTGCATGGCTTACTCCCTCGCCTCCATGGATGTGTTGCTCAAATGTTATCTTCTTAATGAGGCCTACCCTGGCCACCCTATTCAAAATTGTAACTCCTCTTCCCTTAAGCTCTGATTCCGCCTTATCCTACCTCATTTCTCCCTAGAGCAGTTATCACCTTCTAACTTACTATATACTTTATTATATTTATTGTTTTATTTTTTTCTCTCCCCCACTGGAATGTAAGCTCCATGAGGGTAAGAATTTTTTCCTGTTTTGTCTATTGGTGTGTCTTACACACATGGAACGATTCCTGCCATATGGTAGGCTTTCAATAAATTCTTTTTGAATACATGAATGAATGAGCACATTTTCAGTATGACTAAAACAGTAGAATATCAACTCCAATACTCAATCAGCATTCTCCCATTATTCGACAGTCACATAGGCACATGAGCTTGATATTAGAGGTTTTTGTTGGTTGGCGGTTTGATTGAATTATTTGGTTTTAACACATTTTTTAAATGCCTGGAAACCATGTATATTCAGCTCAGTCTTGCATATCTTTTTTGCCATTGTACCTACTCCAAATTAAGTTACCAGAGACGACAGAATACCCAGTTGTAAAAGAAAGATTCAGCTGTGCTCATTTGATTGGCCTCAGATGGGACAGGAAAGGTTTGAAAACTGCCAAGAAATGTTTTAAGTGTAAAGGTAGAGACAAAGATGTTTTCCGCATAAGATCTTCACTTAACCAGAAAATTAAATAACATCACATTATACCTAGAAAGTTTTTTTTCTGTTAATAAATTCCTAAAATCAACATATGTACAGATTCCATAGAATTGAGTAACTCCTCTCTGGTAAATTCTAAAGTCAAAGATATACTGATTTATTTCCTAGGGACCTATAAGAAGGCAAGAAACACTTTTCATGCTTAATTATAAGGATTAATTAAAATTAATGTTCTTGTCACCAACATACGCAAAGCAAGGGTTTTTTGTTTTGTTTTTAAGAAAAAAGAAGAAAAAGAAAGGAAAAGATAATCAGGGCTTGGGAAAGCCTAATTTATTCTGCTTCTATTTTAATAATAGCTTCAAAATGTGTCCTGTTAATTATTTCTAATAAGTATATACCATCTAATCCTAGTATCTTAAATCTCACAGTGAATGTGAATGTTATAAATTCCAATTGGTTATAATTTAGATCAGAATTATGTTCATCATGTCCCTTTATGCTATAAGAGGTAAAGGGCTGGCCAGGCACATTAAGTGCAAACCTCATTTTTGCTTTCATGCTCTTTCTGTTGATTAAGATTAAATCTGATAATGTTAAAATATAGTAAGATATTTTATTCACTGATTCAGGCCAATGAATGGGTGGGAATCAAAGAGAGAAAATTCTAAATTATAGAAATTTTTTTTTTTTTCTTTTTTTTTTTGAGAGATAGTCTTGCTGTCTCCGAGGCTGGAGTGCAATGGCATGATCTCGGCTCACTGCAACCTCAGCCACCCGAGTTCAAGCGATTCTCCTGCTCAGCCTTCCGAGTAGCTGGGATTACAGGCACCCGCCACCATGTCCAGCTAATTTTTGTAGTTTTGGTAGAGACAGGGTTTTACCATGTTGGTCAGGCTGATCTCGAACTCCTGACCTCAGGTGATCCACCCCCCTCGACCTCCCAAAGTGCTGGAATTACAGGCGTCAGCCACCACGCCTGGCCTAAATTATAGAATTTTTAAAAGAAACTCTTTTACTTTCAGACAGCTATAATACCTGGCAATAGAATAATTAAGTGTTGCCCAGGGTCAGAAAAACAATGATTTGTATTTTAATCAATAAAAGCCTGTAGACAGGACAGGGAGTAACAAGGAAACAATGTAATTCATTTTCTAAGCCAGTGCCTGTCCACATATGCACAGGGTGGAAAGCAGCATCCAGTTATTTCCAAGACTCGAACTCTAAAATCAGACAGAGTAGGGTTCAGATCCTGGGTCTGCTGTTTAGGTATTTGTGACCCTGGGAAAGTTATATAATCTATGACTGAATTTCCTGGTGTGTAAATTGACGGTAGTAATGCCTGCCCTGTAGGATTGTCAAGTAAATTAGATCATCTAGGAAAAGCATTTCAATAAATTACTTTCCTATCTTATCTTACAATTATAATGCTGGGATAATGGATCATCAAGGAACCAAAGCTAAGACACTAGACCCCCTGGGTTTCTGACTGGGCCAGATGACTTGGACAAGTCGTTTAACCTCTCTGTGTTTTGTTTTCTTTTTGTTGTGTTTCTTCTAATCTAAAATCGAGGCAAGTAGGTTATGTACTGTACAGAGTCCCTTTCAGCTTTCAAATCCCAGTAATTCCTAGCAAATGTGTTCACTTGGTAAAGCTGTTCACAGTTAGGATAAGGAGTAAGAGGCACATACTTCCTAGTTACGTGTCTCTCATTGTAGTTTTTATAGAAAAACACAAACCCAGAAATGTAAAATAATTAATTTTTAAAATACATCCTCAGAACTGACAAGTCTAAATCAAAATGACTGACTGACATCTTTTAGAGTAGTACTCTCAGGGGTCAGCCCTTCACTATTGCCCCAAGTGCTTTTAGAGGTTAGAAGTACCTGATCACAAGCCAGGCATGGTGGCTTACACC